GTGTATATGAGGGGAAATTGGGAGCCTCGACTAGATCTTGCAGCAAAAAAATCTGCAGTTTCATTGTCTTAATGACGATGACATCCTGGCCTTTCCCACCAGGTGTCACTGCGAAGTCACACAAGAGCATCTGCTGGTGATAACAGAAGATGCAGGCAGAATGACGATTAAGACGACATACGAGTCATCGCTGAAAAAGAGCCTCTTTCCAATCCTCCTTTTGCTCCCTAGCCAAAAATAAAGCACAGTAACACCGCTGTGCATGAAGCTCGACAGAGCAGAGGGCAAATTGTAAATGATGGATACGTATAGCTCATATTGCATAGGAGTCTCAAACGTGTGCCGTGTAAGCTGGGGCTGGTGCTTGGCTGCCAGATGTGGTCCTTGCTGACGTGAGGATGAGGAGATGTCCAGATGAGACGTCACAGCCACGGTGTCAGGACTAAGTCTGGAATGGTGATGCTCACTTTGAGATGATCTTTAGAGACTCACAGCTAAAACCCTTCTGATCACTTTGACAGTGACAGGAGATGAGGGAGTAATTCACGTGCAATGCTTCCTTTTGCAACCAAAGTCTCTGAAAACCAAAAACACTTCCCACAGCCCAATTTTTAAAATAGCTTCTTTGGGACTACTCTTACATCTGAGAAATTGAATTACACAAGGAAATGCCTTAGTTTCAAACTCTATGGATGGGATAGGCCCATCTATAGGTGAAAATCCTGCCTTCCCCTCCCACCAGTGACAGACGAACACACTGCCGTGTCATGTCCTGCTCCCCCATGTTTTCCAAGCACACACTTAGCAGCAGAGCATAACTCCAGAAGTTGTCTCCTCCTATCTGTGAACACAAACTTGCTCAAAGGAAGTCACACCAGGGCTTTATGACAGTGCAGCTCAGAAAAGGTCCCTGTCCTGCTCAGCAGAGACACATAAAGGGACCCCGAATTACGCTGCTGGGTTGTTCCTGGTCTAGCAGCATCATGCCAGCATGGAGGGAGGTCCTCCTGACCCCTTTTCCCAGCATTCAGCATCATGCAGTCCCAAACTCCATGAGCTTCCAAACTGCAACACTGGGACACCACAACCTTCTCGTTGTCACTTCGCAGGATCTCACAGGCAGCCTCCAGCAGAGAGCCTCACTGCCACCCTTCTCACAACATCTGGACAGTCTCTCCAAGTGCCTGACAGCAAATGGAGATACTGTAACTACAGCAAGACAGAATTCGTCTCATTGAAGAGTGCTCCAACAAAATGCTTAACTGAAATGAATTTTACCTGCACTTTACTTGTTAAAGTGTACATTACTTTTATTAAAGTACTATACATAAAGAACAAATAAATGCTCTGATCCTACCACTTTGAAAGTACTTTGTGCTATATCACTGCTTGTTTTAAAATTATCTTATTGTTGCTAAAACATATCCTCAAACCAACAGCAATAATACAGCAAGCTGAAATATAAACCACTCTTCGCCGGTGCTATGCATTTAAATGCTTAACTGGTTTCAGAGAACTTTAAACCCTCTTTCACAGGATATCACTCCATTTTAGTATAAGAATCTATCAGGCACAACTCTGAAAATGTTAAGTCAGACTATGAAAACATGTCAATGCTTATTTTAGTAATAAAAGCCATGTTTAATCTATGCTTTCATATTACAGTAATCTATGTATCAATCTATAACCTTCCAGCTAAATGCAATAAGTAGATTAAGCTCTGATTGATTCGAAATGTTTTTCACTGTATTATCAAAAGTCTACAGATCAGCATAAATACCTAGAAGAAATTTTTTCCCCTTTGGCAGATTTACAAAAGCAGGGCTTAACTTGAATTGAAATGAAGTTCTGCATTTTTCCAGGGCAAAAAGCCTGTCAAATCTACTCTAGATCTGCTCTGCTTCCGGACTTTGTAAAAACCTGTGATTAATAGTACAGTGCATCTATTCTGTCATGACAAAAGCAATCACATTATGAAGAAAAGTGTTCCCTCTGGGTCTACCATTCATATGAAGCGTCAGGAGTTACCCTGAAGGGTGGCACTGCTGGGACTGCCATCTGCATAATGCGCTGTGCAAACACCTCTCCAGGAAGGCGAGGGGGTGTTAATGTGGTCTGGTTGACTACAATAAAAGACCTTAAAAATTGGCTTCCCCAAATAGAAAACATGAAGTTGGGTGGTTTTGTGTGCTGCGTTAAGGGAAAGTGAGAAGCAGGTCGTGAGCTGTCACAGTAACCCAGCGGGCGCTGTGGGGAGGCTCGGCTGACGCTGCCGAAGATGGTGAACCGCAGCAACAAAAAGAGCACGCGAGGGAAGAGGAGTGCACTGAACTCTCTGTGATCCTCTTTCAGGGTTTCTTGCAGCTCCTTTGCAGACTATCTGCTGGGGATGGCTGCACAGATGGAACGAGATTTCTACATATGCTAAGCGTTCATCTCGGTAGCTCGCTCAGACGGTGACAGTGCAAACAAATATGGGTCTGAGCATCCCACCCAGCTCTGCTAGGGAGGTGGGTAAGACACATCTACAAACATCAGTGAGAATGAGGGAAGAGGAAAAATAGCCGTGAGGTGGTAAATTTTGATCCTTGCCCAGATATCAAGTAATTCCAGTCAGGTAAGTTTGGATTTAAAAGGTTGTTCCAGTTTATCCCCCAACAGAGGAGGCACCCAAGAAAAGGAGACAATTTAGAAAAATAAAGGCACTGGTAACAGTGTGCTGGCAGAGCCTCCCAGCTGCTGCTAGGGTAAAACTTCATCTTCACTGACAACAATGCCTGAATTCCCATGGACTCCCATAGGGAGGTGTCATCCATCTCCCAGTGGTCCTTACCCAATTACCACCACGCAATACTCAATTTCTTCTTGGATCCCGCCCCCTGCATCCATGCATTCAGAGAACTGATGTCTGAACACTGCAGACCCATCTGATCCTGAGGCCCCACAGCTTGTTCACGCATCTGCCATGAATTCTCAGTCCTGACTCCAGTCCTGGGTTTACTTCCACAAGGACTGCACAAGTGACGTAGTGCAAAAGAAGGAACTCAGCTCACACAGTCCAGCTCTGGATTTGATTTTGGATTCTGAACCCCATCACTTGGGAATGTTTATATCTGAGGTTTTCCTGTGGGTCCTTCTACTCCTTGCTTGTGAAGTAAGAGTTTTTATTTCAATGTAAACCATATTTGAACACAAAGTAACGTTTCCAAAGGGATCTTATATCCAGATTTCTGCAGACATACTCCTAATGAATAACAGGTTCAGTGGTCTTACTCTGTACATGCTGCTCAGAGAGGTTACAGAACCTGGCTTGGTATATCCAGACTGTATTTGATCATACATTCATTTCTTATCCCAGTACGTTAGCATAAAGTTAACAAGAAAGTGCATTATAAAGGACAAACCTGAAAGTCAATGTCAGCCAAGACATTGCCTGGGCAATCCCGTAATTGAATAAAAGTACGTGTCAGCAAAACAACTGTCATCACGGGCTTGCCAATATGTTTGGAGTTCATCGGCTTGACAAACACCTCTCAGCATGGTGCTGTGTGCGAGACTCTACGAGAAGACCTTATGTACTAAATGATGTTTATCAGCAAAATGTGGGTACTAATATGCACATTTGACCTACAGAGTCAAACAGGCCTGTTCACTACTTCAGCAACTAATTAACAAATAAAGAAAAATTTAAGAAAATTAGCATTTTGTAACTTCTTAGTCACTCCTCTGGTTACAAAGTGCTTCACAAGGAGGATATTCACTTGAAAATATTCTGTGGTATAGTGTAAACACACATTTAAATATCAAAAGTAATCTAAACCACTGTCAGCTTTTTCCATAGAGGTATTGATGAGTTTGTACTCTGATTTCTGGGACCAGCTTCTCTGAGAGTGGCAAAAAAAATATTTTATTTTAATTCCCTCATTTCTGAGTCCAACAGCCCAGCTTAGCTGTGTTACAGAGTAATTTAAGGAGTGATTCATAGTTTTACACCAATTGATGGTGAACAGCATTTTGCAACCTGTTCTGTTCCATTAAGCCCCAAGGAAACCAAAAGCAGCCAACAGGGCACAGCTGATAGATGTATCTGGACACTTCTTTCTGCAGAGGTAAGAAAAGCTTGAGACTGTGTTGGGACCTGCAGGAGAAAGCGTGACTTTAGAGTGAAACTGTGTCACAGGAAAGAGACACTGCCAGGTCCCAAAACCATGATCCTTGTGAAAACGAACTGCTGGCAGGATTAGCCAGTAACAGAGGGAGGGGTGCAGGTTGTGTGCATGTTATATGTGGAGGCTATAAATATATTTTAATTTAAATTCTGAAAATGTATTAGCTTAAAAGCCTATAACGTCCTCCAAAAGAACTGGGGATGTCTGGGATCCTTTCCTAAACTAGTGATCAGGTGAGATTATTTGTAAGCAGCTGCTCACAGACACCTAAAGGGCCATTAGTCAGCTGAAAGGACCAAAGTGAAGCAGTGCTCCAGCAATGACCCTCTAACTCATCAGGTCCACTTTCAAGGGAAAGAAGCCAATTAATTTGAGGACCTGTCTGCTTTTTGAAAATTTTTAGGTAGCAAGATCTGAGCAGCTTCCAGGGCCCACCTAGTGATGTGGAAAACAAACAATCAAGTTATTCTTCCTTTAAAGTGAAACCCCTTTCCCTCCTCTTTTCTCTCCTTTTCTGTGATTTGAAAAGTGGCATGTCTATGAGTGATTGCAGTTGCCATTAAATAATGAAGCAGTTCTGTTCATTAAAGCTTGGTGATTTATTACCTTCGGACTAAAGGAAAGAAAAACAGCCTGAAAACAGAATTCTTACATCATTTCACATTATTTCCAGTCCAGCACTTCAGACAACTGTTAGAATAGCAAATTTTCAGCTCCACGGTCCACCAGTCCCCAGAAATGCAGTGCTGAACATCTAATTCCAGCCATTTATGTAAATCTGGAGTGTAACTTAAACTCATAGCTACCAGCTGCCTAAATGTCATGTCCTACCTTCATACAGCCAGTCGCTGAGCCCATTGAAAATAACACCTTCCTTTCCTGTGGAGACCACTCGGATGGCTTGTTTCCCCACATGGGCACAGTAATAGATGTTATTCTCAAAGATAAATATCTGATTTGAAGGGAAAAAGAAAAAGAGAACAGCATTAAGCAGTGGCTCCATTACAAAATGTTGCATTTTGCTTTTACAATAATCGCCAGTACGAAATCACATATCACATTTTTATAGTATCTTTTGCCGAAAAAGGACTTCCACAGCTTGCTTCCAATGCCATAAACTAATAGAAAGATGTTAATTTACAATGAACAAACTGAAGCCTTGGTCCTTTGGTAGAAACCTCGCTCCCATCTTCGTTTCAGAAATTGAGCAGTGCAGTCAGAGGGCATGAAATGAAGAATGCTAGCACTCAGGATATTGGAAAAACGGTCCAGGACACAGTAGCAGTTTGCAGAGCCAATTATGATGCCATGTGGTGAGTCAACTGGCTACCAGAAACTGCTTCTTGCTTGTTTCCATCTGTTCCTGTTTCCTTAAAACACAGCTGGCAACATATGAAATAAATTCAAATTCAGTTTTTAATGCAGATGCCACAACACAACGTGTACTATCGAACAGGGGACAGCCTATGTGACTGCAGGACGCTGGGCGACAAATGCGTCCCAGCCTCCACGAGGTGGTTGGTGTTCTGGTTGGGGAGGAGATGCACACACTCCAAGGACCCAAAGGGGTGTGCTGGACCTCCCGCCCAGCCCTGTGCACCTGGTCACCTCCCTACGGGAATGAAGGCGCATATGGGCCTCACCTCCCTGCCAGCATGGAAGCGGCCTGCTGTAACCCCCAGCCCGTCTTTGGAAACTTCTCGCTTCTGTTGCAAAAATCTAGTGGATTCAGGTTGCTGAAAGGCGACATGATCTAAACATCACGGGAGCTCACAGCTCCTTGGGAGGGCAAGGAGAGGCCCACACCAAGGATCACCACCAGGTATCTATGCCCGCCTCTGCAAACACCTGCTCACACAGCTGGTGCTGTCTGCGGGAAAGCAGTTCCATCCTGAAGAAGTATTTGTAAATATAAAATTCTTATGAATCACAAAAACTTCAATCAGTGATTTCCAGGAAAGGAGCCTAATATGAGACTCTCAAATAAGCCTCTAGGGTTTTTTTAAAGCTAATTTCATGTGAGTCATTGGATCTACTTTTATGAGAATGCTTTGGGGAATCAGGCTGTTTATTTTGGTGTTAAAGTGCTGATCTGCAAGAAAAACTTTAGCCAGCCATTTAAAAAATATTGATGCATGGCATTAGTCTTTATCATCTGGTTTTCTGTGTTTTGCTGTCATTGATGAGACAGATCCTGTCCTCTTCTCACCTCAAAGTGAACTGCATCCTGCTTAAAGTAGCACTCTTGTTTTTAAAATATTTTTAAACTCCATTCGGACTGCAAAGATTTACTGAACAGAGTATCAGAAAGCCATTTAGACTGAAAGACCTACTGTTAATATAATTTAGTAGACATTTACAGATGTGTTTTTACACACTTGAAGATATTGGAACAAATGTTAGGTATCTTTCCCATGATACTAGAATGCAGTTTCTCATGTTACACTCATAAAAACATAGGACTGGGAAAAAAACTTGCTTTCAGCTTCTGTTTCACTTCCTCTTACGGTATGTGTTTCACCTAAAGATGAGCTTGGAAAGATTCCAGAAGAAAGTATAGATCCTAATTTAGTGTTGGCAGTAGTTATAGTGAGTTTGCCTAAAGGTAAAAAGGATGACTGAAACTATAGCTTGCTTTTATTGCTTTTAGCCTGCCTGGATTTTTAAACTAAGAAAAGCTGCATCCAATCAATATTTTTTGAAAGTAAAACATATGTTGTGGAAGATATCACATTCTCTTTTCTACCTTGATTTTTAGTAAGCAGAGGAGCCAGATGAGGGGTGCCAAATAAAGAATTTAATCTGTTAGTTCATCTGCATGAGGGAGGAGTGTTGTAGCTTAAATGTACATAAAGGCCAATGGCATCCTGGCTGGTATCAGGAATAGTGTGTCCAGCAGGAGCAGGGAGGGGATCGTGCCCCAGAACTCGGCACTGGTGAGGCCGCACCTTGAATACTGTGTTCATTTTTGGGCCCCTCAATACAAGAAAGACATTGAGGTGCTGGAGCGTGTCCAGAGAAGGGTGACAAGTCTGGGGAAGGGACTAGAGAACAAGTCTTATGAGGAGCAGCTGAGGGAACTGGGACTGTTTAGTCTGGAGGAGAGGAGGCTGAGGAGAGACCTTATTGCTCTCTACAGCTACCTGAAAGGCGGTTGCAGCAAGGTGGGTGTTGATCTGTTCTCCCAAGTAACAAGTGATAGGACAAGAGGACACGGCCTCAGGTTGCGCCAGGGGAGATTTAGATTGGATATTAGAAAGATTTCTTCACCAAAAGGGTTGTCAAGCACTGGAATGGGCTGCCCAGGGAAGAGGTTGAGGCTCTGTCTCTGGAGGTATCTAAAAGGTGTGTAGATGTGGTGCTTAGGGACCCAGTTTAGTGGTGGAATTGACAGTGTAAGGTTTGCAGTTAGACTCAATGATCTTGAGGGTCTTTTCCAAACTATATGATTCTATAATAAAGTCAGGGAAAAATAAACAGAATAAGATACTTTGGGCCCAATGAAAACCAAATCTCTGTGTCCAAGACCTAAAGGTACTGGGGGTGCTTGGGTGGGGGCTTTTCTGTGACAGGCACACAATCTAGCATAGTTATTCAAGTGATGCAATCCTTCCCTTGTCCAGTGTCTCCCAGCAAATAAACATTTTGCCATATTTTGCACTGTATTAAATTTTAAATGATTTTACAGGAAGAATGAAGAAGGTGGATTGACAAGCTGTCCCTGCCACTTGCTTTGTAAATCTACAATGTTTTCGGTCTTCCGTTTTGTCTTTCAAAGCTTCATTGCACTAACCAGGCTGCATGAGGTATCTGGTAGCTGCAATGGAAAAATAATACAGTGCTCTGACTTCCAACTGTCTCCCATGTAATTCAGAGCCAAACTGCAGCACCTCATAGAGAATTCAAAATTATTCTCCTAACTACAGTGCCTTGTACCCTAAAAATGTCAACCATAATCAAGATAAGAGATAACTGAAGCGGCACTAGGAAGATTTCTGTGTAATGTATCTTATAAATTAAGAAAAAGCATTTGAACTTTTGTTATTCATCATAAAGAAATGTCTTTGGATTACTTCACATTCTGGGTTAAAAAGATATTAGATGATTTTATGAAATACATACATAACATTTTTTTACTGTTTTGGTTTTATGACATCAAAGCAGTGCTTTCTATCAATTGTTCAGAATCCTTTGAGCTAGTTAGAGGATGAGAAAATTTTGTAAAGAAAAATAATAAAGAAAAATGTATGGACATCACTTTCACATTGTTTTATGCTTGTTTTACATAGTAGTTCTAGACTAATATAAAATGACAAGAGAAGGGGTCAAGCTCAACTTTATGTCTTTCTCTATACAGGAGACAAAGACCAGACCTAAAATTTCTGGTGTCTTCTCTTTTGGAGAGCGTATTTGACCAATATTTTACCCAAAACATTCTTGCAATGTATATGTCTTTTATCATGGACAGCACATAAAGTCCAGCACTTAGCACAACTAATGACATGAAAAATAAACCTATGATACAGAATCACAGAATCACATAATGGTAGGGGTTGGAAGGGACCTCTGTGGGTCATCTAGTCCAACCCTCCTGCCGAAGCAGGGTCACCTACAGTAGGCTGTAGAGGACCTTGTCCAGGCGGGTCTTGAATATCTCCAGAGAAGGAGACTCCACAACCTCCCTGGGCAGCCTGTTCCAGTGCTCCGTCACCCTCAGAGGGAAGAAGTTCTTCCTCAT